AACATCTGCACTCCTGCTCGTTTATCACTATGATGGCATGTTAATACAAAACAAGGGGTGTTTTCTTTTAAAAAGCTACAACAACAAATAACCACAACAGTTGTCATTTTGGCACCAAGTTTTTTTAAAGGACCCATGTTACGCTATTTTGTGATCTCTGTTATAATGTTGTTTCCTCATCAAAATATACCTGGAGTTGTCTTTTCTTTCATTTACACAGGTTTAACACACACACCCTGCATATTATTTAGGAGTTCTTCTCTCATACTGAAAACATGCAGTTCCACCTTGTGATGTCATGTGGTAATACAGGAAGTGCTCCACTTAGTTTTTAATCTCCATACACCTTCAGTAGAATCAATGAATAACTTCAGACCTGGTAGTTTTAATCTCTACTTAACTAAATGTAAAAGGTAGGTGTTAACTTGAAAATTACTGTAAAAACAAAAGGCAGAACAGAGCATTTTAAGTTTTGGAGATACAGATGGACTAATAATAAAGGATCACTCAAACATACAACATATGAATGAAACAAAGCACAACTCCAGGAATTTTTGATGACATAACAACATTATTACACGGTTTAAAGCTCACAAGAGTCAATTTTGCGTAAACTTAAAAACACAAAAACACATGTATTAAAGCCACATATCACAATGCATCCTGACTCAGCATAGTCCCAGTCTATGACACACCACTGTGACCATATGTGACCCATTATACAGCGATTAGCCAATCATTTCTGGGGGAGAAGCTGTGAGGGAGCGTGCCTGCTGTGGCTGAATAAAATGAGAAAACCACTAAATGCTAGTCTGGAAATAATCCGTAATTAAAAACACACACAGTTATCCAGTATATGGCTCACACCTAACCCCACAATAACACACACCCCACCTTAATTGAAGCTTTCTTTGTCCCAAACGGCTTCAACCTCCGCCATTAAAATGCTAGTCTGGAAGAGCACTCATTCAAAAACGGACTGTACACAAATTCACAAAAAAATAGTAACTTCTATGTTAAGTATTTAAACTAAGTGAAAAAATTTTATGTAAAAAATGTACTTCATAAGTTCACATTTTGACCCATATATTGTCTAAATTTCATGCCTCTATCAGCTGGCCCATTTGTCTATTGAATTTTGGAAATTGGCGCTAAACTAATAATAATGAAAAATTAATGAAAGTCTACAAAAAGATTTAGGGCTATGGGATTTCACAGCACAAGGTCTGATCTGGGATTGGTTAAAATGTATTGAAAGAACACTTACCTAAAAAGATCCACAAGATCAGCACATGGAAAAGAAAAGAAATGTGAAATTAGTATTTTAACATAATAACATAAGTAGGTGATTACGGGGACTAGGCATATAGGTTTATGCATACTTTCCTGTCTAGCTGCAGTAAATGCTCTGGGCTATTGGCCACTTCACCAGATTTCTGTCTTTAATGAAGCTCTGCCAGTTTGTACAGGATGAATAATCAAGGGCTAATCTGGATTTACACATGAACTACATAATGAGAATAAGTACGGGGTATGCCCTGCCATGTTTCTACAATAAATAGTCCAAAAACCATGAACGAGACTGTTACGCAAGAGTTTAGATCCGCTCAAATCTTTTTAAGTATCTCAAAGGCAGATATGCTTCATAATGCATTTTAATAACAACATCAGAGGACATGCCAGTTAGGTCAGGATGTTATTAGACTACATAAGATGGCACCAACAATATTGTGAAATATTAGCACTGTTAGCACACAAACCACGTCTCCCCCAAATAATCACTCTTCAGATTACATGTTAACATAGCCCCATTTCTTTTGCCAACAAGAAAATTCCAATTGGAGAAAAGATGTTTTTCACAGGATGCTAAACAGGAAAACTCTGATGCAGTAATCATATAAAGCCCAGATTTCCCTCTTTGCAACAGTGCCAAAACAGGATTCACTCTAGAGATCGAATAGTCAGAGGGGCTAAGACTGGGGGTGGGGTAGTTCTCATACAAGTGAAAGAAAATATGTCAAGAAGAAGGTCTAACTTACAGTATTTTTGTGTACTGAAAGAGCAGTAGCAGTAGTGGCACAAGATATTTGAGAACTTTTACATATACTCATGCACAATGCACATTCATGCTTTTTGATCTTATAATTAAATGTGATTAAAAGGTAACAATTATGGGGATACACATTTTGAACAAAACATGTTCCTTTCCGGTTCCTCACATCCAACTTCATTAAATTTAACTCAACTGACCCTGAACGGAAGCAACCAATCACAATTTGAGTTCCAGACAGCTCCCTTTCATGTGATTGGTCCAGAGGGTGGGGTCAACGCAAGTCATGGCAGTACGTACGTTGTCGCCCTCCTGTCACTATGGAAACGAGCCAAACATCCAGACAGTGAGGCTGGAAACTGCGTGAAAATTACAGGTTTAAGAGCCACGGGCAGTCATTTTGGATCTATATTTATACACAGGCTTGGTGCACCACTGGTCTGTGTGTCTCGTAGCAGATGTTACAAAATACAAGGCTCAAACTGGAAATGTACTTTTATAAGAGATTTCCTGTGTGGTGTTGCTACTACAGTTACACGTATGTCTTTTCATTGACCCTTCTATGACACTGCCTTTGGCTTGAAACAACAAGAGTTATAGTTATATAAGACAGCAATAAAGACTCAAACAGACCACAGAGACTATTATGTGTGTGTGTCAACAATTTGCGTGGCACTTAAATTATAAACGAAGGCATTATCATGGATCTCTTTTTTCATGAAGATTTTAGCAATAATTGTTAGTGTGTAAGTGATAATAAAATAATTACATTTTCAAAATATATTTTAATGTCAAAACATCTTTAACGAAACAAACTCATTCACAAGTTGTTGCTGTCAAATTGAATGGGAGGGAAGGTTATATTCACGAACATCTGGCCATGCTAATAAATCAATAGAAAAAATGTATGAAATCACCATGGACCACTAAAGAATTGATTTGAATAAACACAACAACTGTCTCATCACCAGAAACTCACCACGCCAATCAATGTCTAATAATTACTTTAACTAATAACAAATCCAAATTTCTCTCTCTCCCGTTTTAGCCTCTGAACAAAACCATTTGGAGACTTCAAACCACTCTAGGTATGCAGAGCCCTGAGCTGTTTTTGGACAGGGGCAAGATCACAGATGATGGAGCAACAGTGAAAGATTGAGACATAGTAACTGACAACACAACAGATGCTCAAGTGCCAAAGAAAGTGATGCAATAATAATAGTAAAGAAATCAAATGTCAAGATCGATTTTACAAGTTGTATTGTTATGACAACTAGTGTTACAAACAAACCAAAGAGACCAAATAACAAATGTATGTAGTTTATGCTATACAACCATCCAGTTCCATTTTAGGGATTACAGTAACTGAAATATCATGATTTCGTATTGTCAAACGTCTCACAATAATATCATTGGCTGTCACAATCAAATTATAAGACTTTTTGCTTAAATTAATTGTTATAATGCAATGTTATGATGCAAAAAACAAAACAGGGAACTACATAAGACCATGATCCTTTCCAGACTACATAAAGAAATACACTTTTAAATCTTAATTATTTGGATTATGGCAGGATCAAAAGCTTGTCAAGGCATTTTAATATCACAATAAATATGGTACTGTGAGATCAATCATATTATGAAATTTGGCTCATCATTACATCCCCTGTACTTTGAATTAAGCATTTAGGTAATTGTTTTTGAGGTGTACATTTCTGTCATGTCTAACAATAAAATAAATATTTCATTTGTTGACACCACAGTATTGATTTGTAACAGATAAAGATTGTGTCCCCATAGTAACCACAAGATACAACTATGGCACATATCCAATTACATAATCAATAAACAATGATCTTAACCTGGAAACTTGATATGTTGAGAGCAAAATATCCATTATCTCACCCCATTAAGACAATCCAACTACAGGTAAACTAAGAAAAAGGATATCCTTTAATTAACTAGAGATCAAGCACATTTTAAGACAGTACATCTTCAGCTACAACTACTGGTAAGGAAGAATGGGCATTTGTATCTATGACTAATGTACAAGTAAGATTCTTCATCACCACCAGCCACTGACATCACCCAACAAACTGCCCCTCACGTCATTGTTGAGCTATCACACACACAGTGAACTTTGCTCCCACCCCAGCCACAGACAATGCACTTGCTCCAGTCTAGAACAGGAAGTGCTCAAAGACAGAGAACAAGGAGTCATTAAAACAGTGACCCACTTGGCTTTTCTTTTGCCTGTAAACAAAGATTGATTAACTTCCTATCCGAGTATAAAGACAAAAATCCATGGCTCAGAAAATAAAAAGAATAAAAATCAACAGTATTGTTTTCAGTTGTATCGTTCGCAAAGAGCATCAAATCTTTGGCATACGAGGAAAACTAGATGCAATGCCAAATAAATTAAATAAATCAATGACTAATAAAATGTTCAGAGAGCACTCTTATAATTTCATTTGAGGTTCTTCCATCTGTTTGCCTCCATGGAGATATATTCTTGTATGTCATAATTAAAATCTCTTTTTATTGCAGAAAATACCTTATAAAACTTCAAATTCTTCACTATGAATGGACTCGCCTCTGCACTGATCTGAATGCTAACTGATGGTGCTATTGTCTTGTCTCTATGGAGATGGGTGGCATAGATAAGTTACATACTATGGAACATTCTAGGCAACAGAATAACATCTTCATGGAGACAAGAAGAAGTTACATGGTGAACCTTTAATAAAATTGTCATATTTGACTCTATTTGCAATGTTGCCTGGAACAAAAAAACAAATTTCAAGTATTTGCTCAAAGTTTTTTTATAAACTCTTGATGATTTATATGATTATAGACAACTATTCTTTTCAAACTTCACTTAATGGTACCTTATTTTCGTTGCAATAATTTGGTTGATTGTTAAAACCGACCAACTTCCCTTTTATCTCACCTATTTTATGCTGAGGCTGATATACCCAGTTGTCATCGTCGTGTGGGTCTTCTCCATTAGCAGTGTGGAGGTGAGTGTGTGACAGTGTGTGACGGCCATGCAGCTCACTCTGACTGTGGAACATGCGTCTGCTCTGGCGGGACAGAGTGGACACATTGAGCCAGCTGAGGGCACGAGACAGTCCCACAGGCTTGTCTTTACGAAAAGAAGATGATCTCCTATCACCTCTCATGCTTGCAGGGGCAGAAGATCAATGTAGAAGCAAGAAAAGTGGTGGTGAAAATTGTAATCTCTAATCCACAGATATTCAGATGTACATTGTAGACAAGGTTTGTAATCCAGATTATGAAACAGCACTGGAATCCCAAATATTTAAATTTCAGGTCCAAATTGGCATAATCCACAGTCCAAAAAGTGTTATAGTTTTATATAGATTTTCTAGAGCCATTGAATCTGCAATAAGATCCAAAAGTCAGGCTAAATAATTGCATCTTTCTTCTCTCCCTTTGTGCTTTTAAACTCCGGGCACAATTCCCAAAACCCAAAGACGCAATTAGGCAATCCCAGTTATCTGGAAAACCACCGCCCCGCTGCTCCACACGCTCCTTGCAGTTTACACTAGGGCTACTATCACTACTATGTACACACTTTCTTGGCTGTCATACTTCTGGCCGAGACATAACAGGGTGGAGAGCGCTAGTTAAAATGACACGAGTTGCTTCCTAATCAAAAGCACTCATCAGATGTTGTTTATGACGTGCACGCGTGCTCTTTGGTGTTGTTATCTTCAGTGGTTGGCATGCACAGACAGCTGACACGCACCAACTCATTTACGCCAGACATGAGGGTTCAGTGTCCCCCCGGTTCTATGGGCAATACTTCCAAAACATATGAATTTAAACATGTTCATTCTCCGCAAACAGTGCAAGATCCAACTGGTAGCATTTTTTCCAAATTTCCTCCAAATCTTAGTTTTCAGGTCAAGACTCAGCTTTCCTCCATTGTAGAAGTTGTTTTAATACACAAATCTGGCTGAAAAAAAAAAAAGAACGGAAACTTCTAGTGCAAGAAATGTTGACAACTGGATTTCCCATCAGATGATTGGCCAAAGGAATCAAGGAAGCCATCCACACCTGCTGCTGCCTAAGTTGGCTAAGTCCACTCCAGAAGTATCCTTTGGTATGGATCCCCTGCAGCCTTGGTCCTGCTTACTGTCCTCAAAAATGTTAGCGTGCTTCAGTCCCGGTGAAGTTTACTGTTGTGAGCGTAAAGGGTTAGGATTACACCCAGCCCTTAGAGCCACGGTGCTGAAATATGAGATCGTCCCTTCTTCCTTCACTCCCTGGGTTGGCCACTCCCACTCACCGTTCGCAGGCATGGTAACGCGCTCCTCCCTAAAGCTCCGGGCTTGCACCTTTTTTCTCTCTATACTCGTCTGTTTACTTTTCTAGGTCAGCTGCGGAGTCCCTAAGGTGAATTCTTTTATGAAATTGAGACACAATAATTGTTTGAATGGAACTACTGGTAATACAACATGCTGTCTTAATAGGCTTTATTATTAAAATCGGGGATCTCCAACCTGTAGCTCGGGAGTTTGCCAAAGGATTTCTGAATTATATGTATTGCACTTAATACATAAAATCTGATGAATTACCTTTGTAAATGTGTAATTTTGATGCCTAACTTCTGCACTAATAAAGAGGTAATGGTTTATGTTTAATAGGCATCTAACTATACCCTCTCTAAAACTATTCTACTTTCTTTTCATGTGACTGCTAAAATGAGTAGGTCTCTGGCATTTTTCGTTTCATAAAGGTTGCTCACCAGAAGAAAAAGTTTGGAGACCCCTGATTAAAATAGAAAGCAATTTATTAGTTGAGACATATGATACTTGAATAGTGTTGCAAATTATGAATCACTATCAGTCAAAGTAGTTGTGTATGTTGTCAAAGTTTCATTTTCACCACATAAATCACAAATCTAATCCAATTTTCACAACTTTTGAGTCAACCTGAATGTAATAATAATGCTGATATGAATTACTATGTGTATTTCATACTACTGCATTTAAATTAAGTACGTCATAGAGTACATATCCAGAAAGGCAGATATCATGACATGTACCAGATCAAGCTGCAAATCACTACTACAGTAATCAGAGGAACGCTGGCCATAACTAACATATCTTCAAACTGATTTAGAAACATGTTGAGACACTTAAGAGTTTTACGGGCCATAACTGTATGCCTCAAGAGGTGGGAGCAACTGGTTATGCAGCAAACTGCGTATATCGTGGGTATATGCAAAACAAACTAGGTTCATACTTAACAAAACACATCAGTCAAAAGAACTGCACCTAAGTGGCAACTGCTTTTAAAGCCCGGACGCTAAAAGAAAAGGGTGTACATACATTCTTTTGTCAAATATAATACCCACACATACTTAACTGGCCACCGTGTATTTGAGGAAGGCCAAAATAGCATGCAGAGGCCCGTCAGACGAAAACAAAGTCTTTATGGGGTGCTGTATGTGTTGAGGAGAGGTGGAGTTTTCCCACCCGTGCATAACCACAAAACAGCGTGTGACCACCAAGGTGAGACGCAAGTAGCAATCTGCGTGTCCACAAATAACATGGCAAAGTGGCAACTGGCGGAACAAGTAAGTCATTATTGTGTTTCATTCATGGTTGAGCTCAGAAGCATTTTAGACAACTTGTATTTGGGGTGTGTATTTAATGGAGCCCTATATTGCTTATTATTAGGCAGCAGCTATTATTGACAATAAAAAAAATGCAACTTAACTGACCAACTTTGTTTGTATGGTGTTAGGCCTGTCATGATAACAAATTTTGAAGTGTGATATATTACTGAATTAAATATAGATAAAAGTTTGGGTTTCTGAAAATAATTTTTTAGGTATTACGATAGATGAAAAGCTAAGCTGGAAACCACACATCAGATACATACAATCTAAGGGCTCAAAAAGTATTGCAGTAATCAACAAAGGGAAACACATTCTTAATCAAAAGGTTCTTTACATATTGTATTGCTCTCTCATACTTCCATACCTGACATATTGTATTGAAATCTGGGGCAATAACTACCAAACATTACTTCTTCCCCTTTTCAAATTGCAAAAATGTGTTGTGAGAATAGTGCATAAGGTTGGTTACCTGGATCATACAAACAATTTGTTTTTCAAATCAAAATTATAAAAAAATTTAGATTTAGTGAAATTCTACACTGCTTTGCTTTTGTATAAAGCAAACAAAAATATGCTGCCGTTAAATCTCCAAAAACTGTTCAGTACATATGAAGTACATTATGATTTAAGGGGAAGGGGTCAATTTAAAACATAATCAGTGAGAAGCACCAGGAAAAGCATGTGTGTATCTGTGTGTGGGGTCAGTCTGTGGAATGGGTTGTGAGAAAACCTGAAGTAGTGCCCAAGTATTCACAGCTTCAAAAGGAATTATAAAGAATTTTTGCTTTCATGGTATAAGGGTGAGTGACAGTACTGGGTGATCTTTAAAACAAATGAATAGGGGTGGGTTCATTTAAGTTTTTCTCTCTTGGCACAAACTCAAAATAAAAATGAATCAATCAATCAGTCAATCAACGTTAATAGTGAAGCAGAATTTTCTCCAAAAAGTATTTTAAGTGTATAAAATTGTGAAAAAAATGCAGAAAAAAAGATAAAGCAATAAATAAATAACAGAATGAACACTTAAGTAGTTGGTTTGTATCTGTAATGAGTCATAGAAGTTCACAGTTCAACCTTCTACAGCTCAGATCTCCTCACAGTACAGAAAAATAACCAAAGATTTCCCACTAGTGCAAAGAAAAAGTCTCCACAATAAATACTAATAGACCCCCGGTTCCATCTGTCATGTATTGAACGATAAGTCAATATAGTATTTATTGTGACAGGCCTACGTAGTCATGATCTGTTTGAGTCACTTAAACCCATTATATTGTAAACCATAGTGTAATTTGTCTGACTTCCTTCTGAAATTCAATCTAGAATCTATGTTTAGTTGAGAAATATAAACTTAAACCTAAAGCCCCTATGTTATGTCTGGCCCCAGTCTAATTTTGTTTCTCCAATTCTATGGGAAACTGCATCATCAGCACTTTCACCCTGTCATAAACGTACAGAGAAATTACTAAACCAAGTGCAATCCTACATAGACCTTTGTCCAACACGAGACACACAACCAAAGTATGTTAGGCTACTTATTAACCAGTTCTTGGCTTCATAGCATACTACTACCACCACTACCTTTACAAGACACCAGACAGATAAGAGAAGAAAAAATAACTAACTACTATACAAATAAATTACGATAAAGGTTACTGAGCCACATCTGCACGCTCAACTCATTTCCAATGAGTGCGGACTATTGATTTCTTCTTTTCAGGAAGAAAATACGTTTTTAAGACCAATCCCCTAAAGGCAAGGAAAGAGGTCAAAGGTCACCACTAGAAGTCCTGACCCAACAGCCCACCTTATTTCCACCTAATATATGTTTTTTTTTTTTTTTCCATTTTCAAGTAACTATCACCAGTGATGTTTTAAGTTGTGATGCATTGTAACAAATAAAGGTTCTAAATAACAGGAAATTTACTCTTGTGAGTTTTTGGGCATGCTACAATGCTATTACTTCATCAAAAAGGTACATGGAGTTGTGTTTGGTTTTGTTTTATTTACACGTTTGAGTTTATTATTAAACGGTCTACATCTCCAAAGCTCAAAATGCTCCGTTCCACCTTGCAATGTCATGAAGCTGTAGTTTTCAAGCTAACAGCTACCTTCTACATAAATATTTGCAGGGTTTCTGTGTTAGACATGAGTGAATGAAACAACACAACTCCTGGTATGTTTTTGATGAACAAACAACATTGTAGCATAGATCAGAAAATAGCATAATATAGGCCTTTTAAAGATGGTCTTGCAAATAATTATTCATATCACAACTATGAACATAGTTGGAGAACTTGTGAAAAAGTTAAAATAATACTGAAAATGACAAAAAGAATTGAATGAAAGAACACACTGTTGCTTGAAGTGCGTGATTACAACAAAAGTGTTTTAATCTTCAAACGTCTCAACCCTGTAATCTGACAACAAAAGTGTTTTATAGTGCATATAATTTCAACACTGCATCACTGAATACGTGGCTCAGATCTGAAATTACAGCTCACAATGGGAAAATACAGTGGTTTAAATATATCTTTGGGCACCTGCTTACTCAGCACATAGACTATTGTTAGTTATATAGTGTTCAGCACAGCGTCTACAAAAAGAAATGCCAATTTTTGTTCATGTAAAAATGTAATTAGAATTGCTAAACTTTTTTAAAGGGTCTATCTTATGGTATTTTATGAACTATGTTGTAATGTTGTTTCCTCATTAAAACACATCTGGAGTTTTGTTTTATTTCAGTCACGCATGTTTAACACACTAACCCTGCATATTTAGGCTGAATTCTTCCCTCAAGCAGGAAACACTCACCTTTAATATAGAAAATAGACCAATAGAAACTAAATAATCTTTGTGTGAATCTAAAGTTGTGTTATGTCTGGGTTAAGGCTAAGAATCTCAGACTATGGTTTAAATCAGGGAGTGAACCATGAGAAGTAACATAAGTGCAGGCAGACATATGTAACCTTTGTGTCGGCGCGTTTCTATATTAGGGACCAAAGAGGTGTTGGAATCTTTACGGCGAAGGTCAGAGGAGCTGAGAAGACATTGGTATCCTGGGTAAGCCTAAACATCAGAATAACATACACAGCAAGCTATCCAGCCAACACAAATGTAAAAAATAACCATTGGAGACAAGACATCATGCACAAAAAATACAAAAATTCTGATTCAAGTATAATGAGACAATGTAATCTTAATTAAGTATAATTTTGACTTTATGGGTAAAATCCTTGATATGAGACAAAGAAAAATGAAAAAGATAATCATGAAGTGTGAAAGTATTATAGCCTTTTATAATTTTTTCTGTACTGTCCATTTCCAAACAAAGACCACATTATGTTTGTCAGCTCTTGACCTGTAAGTCTAAACCTTGACATGTGAGTAACCCTGGCTTCACTTCCCCCATCTACAACTTCATTTGACAACCAAATTATCCTTCTAAAGAAATATTTATTTTAAGAGTTCGTTCTCCATTGTAAATATTTGCCAAATATAGACAAATCAAATCAAATATCCACCATATGTT